TGGCCTGTTAATGGCCATTTCCCCCCACAGTGCCTGACACGTAAAAGGTACTCAGACATTTGACGGATGAATACAGTCAAAAGCTGAAAGAAATCTAGGTTAGCTATCAATAATTGTTCACTGTCATTAAAAATGACCGATTAGTGTTAATCTATAAATCTATAAACTGTGATAGATGTTGTTCTTTTCTCTCTAACACAGACAGAACAGGAATAAAGAGGGCAGTGATAAGATGTGAAACCTCACAGTAAAAAAAAACCCGCCCAAGAAAAGGAAGTCGCTGCCTCTGGTCAGTTCAGTATCCCTTCCAGGACCATGGGATGGACCTAGTTAGTGGGAGGTCACACTGGGGACCATCATGGAGACGTTCCCACCTACAGCACTGTACATAGAGCTGTCTCTACCAGGTGAGCCTTGTGTTAGGTGGAGATTTGATATGGCTGCAGGAGACTGTGAACGGATGCAAAGAATTAAACTCACCACTGCCCTCCATCAAAACCCCACCAACTAGATAAACTATCTCAGGCTAATCAAATTCATAGTTACAGGTGACACTGAAATTACTTGAAAGCATTCCTAGAAAAAGTTAGGATATAAATACATGTTTTTAAATCATTGAAAACTTAACAATATATGCTCTAACGTCTACCCTGAGCAAAATTACCTGTATTAAAAATGAAAAAAAAAATTAAATATAGATATTTTTCCAATATTAGATATTTATATAATTCAGGGTAGACGAAAGTAGTTTATAGTTGTGAGTATGTGAAACAGAGTTTATTTTTGTATTATTATTTATTAATTGTATTATTTATTTGTCTTACAACTGGAAACCTACTTTTGCCCACCCCTGTACTTATAAATCCAGGGATTTTAAGAATTTGGAGTCAATACAAGACACAGTCTGAGGATGCAGACAACAGCCCCAACTGGTGGCCCTGAATTCCAGATCTTCCACGTGCTAGCTGTGTGACCTTGGGTCTTTGCTTAACCTCTCTGGGTGTCAGGTTCTTCATCCACCAAATAGAGATAATCATAATTTCTGCTTGACAGCACTTCATATTTTTACGAAAAAACTTGTAGAAGATACTGTGTATAGGGAGTTAAGGAAAGGAGAGACTTTAACAATCTAGAGTTAAAGACTGTTAACAGGGATAAAAATACATAGAGAACCAAGTCACAGATCCTCAGAGGGATTCTGATTATCATTAAATATTTGAAACTTACCAGAATGCTTGAATATCTACAGCTCGAGAGCAATACAAGCAATCTAGTAAGAACGAGCATGGTTCTCTAAATACAAAGTTATGAATGGCTTTTTATTTCCAATAAAGTACACAAAATAACTTGCCAAGTAAAACTAATATCCATAACATAAACCAAACAAGTAGGCATTTCTGCATTACTAATTTGACCGCCTGTTGATATGAATTAATTCGGAGTTTATCTGGACTCTCGCTGCATTGTTCAGTGATGCTATGTGAAGCATCTCCTAGCAAACAACATTTATCATTGTTTTGGAGGGGCCTGTGGATGCACAGACGGCTTTAGACAATTGTTATTAATGACAAATACTCCAGCACTCCTTGAGCACTGTGCTAGGTGTTGTGGGATCAATGACATATGGTAAACACAGTGGTAATGTGAGCTATATAATCACCCCAAATCCTTCCTGGAAAGGACTAAGCCTGTGAACCACAGAAAGATGTTTAGAGATGTTCACAGAGCACTGAGCAAGAAACGCCTGTGCCAGGGCTCTTCTCGGTGACTCTGTGGAAGCTTGGAGAAGATGTACCACTCCCAAGAACCACCAGGGCGGGGTCTGGTCCTGCTGCTTGCCTTATATCGAGCCTGGCATGCACACAAATAATTGGCGGAAACGAAGTAAACATGATGGAAACACAACCAGGCAATGGCAATAGCATTTAATTTCTTCTTAGAAGTCAGCACACTCCTCAACAATGCTATTTCCATGTGAATTAAGACAGATCTATAATTCAGTGGCCCACATTATGCCAGGCCTAGGATAAACAGAAACAGCTCCTGGCTTCCAGGAGCTCATGGTGCAGGGAGAGCGATGAGTATACGCCACATAACGTGGAGGCGCAGTAATGAGCACATGCACAGCGCTATTCAGCTATTGACTCTGCAGTACGGAGGTCTGCACCCTGCAAGCAGCAGCAGTACAATGGTGGCCAAAAAGGGGTCTCGTGTCTATCCCCTAGTGTCCAGTGGATATATGAATTAAGGCACAGGATAGACATTAAAGTGATAGTCACACTTGTGAACCAATAATGTTAAACAGATAAACTATGTAGAGGAACACGATTCTGTGAGAGAATAAAATGAAGAGAGATCTGGCCTACACTTGCTGGGTGATTACAAAAAGCAAGAATAAACATGGAGAGCAATGGGAAAATGTCAAGATTAAGGTTCTGGCTTGTAGAAAGGTATGGATGATGGAGCCACTGCTGCTTTAAAAAAAGACCCAGCATGAAGGTCTAAGTGGATATGTTGAGAAGTCAACTGAATCTATGGTTCTAGAACTCAGAAAGCATGTCTGGGAAGGAGTCCTAAAACTGGCATATCACAGGTAATTCAAGTCACAGGTTTACATGAGATTGTCCAGGGAGAAAATATGGAGAGAAGAGAATGATTTAGAACAGGTCTTAAGAAGCTTCATTGTTTGCCCTAGCTGGTTTGGCTCAGTGGATAGAGCACTGACCTGTGGACTGAAGGGTCCTGGGTTTGATTCCGGTCAAGGGCACATGACCAAGTTGTGGGCTAGATCCCCAGTAGGGCGTGCAAGAGGCAGCCAATCAATGATTCTCTCTCATCATTGATGTTTCTATCTCTCCCTCCCTCTCCGTTCCTCTCTGAAATAAATAAAAATATATTTGGAAAAAAAATAAATCTAGTAGTATTAAACATTCATACTTCCTGTTTATACTTACAGTGTACTCCACAGTACCATGGGGCTTCTGAACCACCATCTTCTTCTCTTTTTTATCATGTGTTTTGTTTTGATTGTCATCTGAGGAATAAAATGTATGTAAATGAAGAATTTAATCTAGGGAATTGAGGATAGGGTAATGTATACTCTATTAAAACCACTTTCAAATTGACTATTTAAAAAAAATGACACCAAAATAAAATGGACTAAGGGTGCAGATAGACCATACTTCTAAAAAAACATACCATTCATCAATGAACACTTGAATAAATGATTGTTAACTGTAATAAAATGGCACAAGTAACAAGCTAATGTTTTATTGTTATTAAAGTAATAGTTTAAATGATAATGTCTAATGGTGAAGTTAGAGTAAAACTAGTTGTCATGGTAATGTATACTGATCTATAAGTACAGCCCTTTTAGAAAGTGACTTGTCAACGTGTAAAATGTCCATTCTTTGACATTCCTTCCCTTACGAACTTATCCTAAGGAAAAATTCAAAAGAAGAAAAATGCTGTATGTAACAGTGTATGGTTAATGCAATATTATTACTAATAATGAAAACTTGGAAAGACCTATCTGTCCAATAATATATTAAGTTGAATCATAGATTTTGCTGTTTTTATAGATCAGAAGTGGCCAACGTATCAGCTTAATCAACCTCAATGTTATGATTAAATACGTCCAGATATTGAAAACCAGAGAGACATATAGCAAAGGATAAAAATTTAAGTGAAAAAAAAAAAAAGAAATAAAAGTAATGGAACTCCCCCCCACCCCTCCGCCCAAAAAAAGAAACAAACAAACTAAAACTTAAAAAAAAAAAAGTAATGGAACCCTAAAGGCTGTGTATAACAAGAATGAAAACAGAATGGCTTCATGATGTCACTTCCATGGATGCAGTAGCTCATTAATTACCAAACTGCAGCCTGAACTAGGCCCTGGTAAGGCCCACCCAGCTTTACAGAAGGAAGATGGCAGGGTGTGCGGTGGGAGAGATACCCACAGGCGCCGCACAAGCTCCACTGCAGTCCCTTCGTTCCTACTTCTGTGGAAGACAAGTGCCTGAGAGCAATGCCAGCAAAGCTCTTAAGGCTTCTGAGCATAATAACTTCCACTCACTAAACGACAACAAAGAAGCTAATCTAATGTGAGGCAAGGCTAAAACATAAGTACTTAAGGTCATAAAAATAAACTGTAGTGGAGTTGAGAGCAAAAACACAACAAACATAATGGAAACAGTTTGGAAACCCCAAGCATGAAGAGGAAATCCCTGCCATTCATTGGAGGCCCACTGTCATAGCCGGGCAAGGCAACACCTGGCAGAATGTACTCCAGGTAATCACCTGTTCCTCAATGGTCTCTTTAGAAATGAAGGACTACTCTAAACTCTCCTAAAGCATACCTGTATAAAATAAGATGACTCCTTATGTTAGAAACCAAAAGCAAATATTAAAAGTGAAACACTAACCAATATAAATACAAGAGTTCCTACTATCGTGGTTTATAGTCAACTTTGTTCTAGAATCTCTAGTCAAAGTAACAGATAAAGAAGTTTAAAATAGTCCTAGCTGGTTTGGTGTCGGCCTGCGGAACAGAGTCCCAGGTTCAATTCCGGTCAAGGGCATGTACCTTGGTGGCAGGCTCCTCCCCTGCCAGGGCCCTGGTCGGGGCTCCAGCAGGAGGCAACCAGTCAATGTGTTTCTCTCACATTGACATTTCTCTCTCTGTCTTTCCCTTTCTTTTCCACTCTCTCTAAAAATCAATGTAAAAGTATCCTCAGGTGAGGATTTTTTTAAAAATGATAATAAAAATAATAAGTAAAGGCCATATTTTAAAAAGAAGAAGAAAAAAGAAGTTTTAAATAATGAAATGAAAATTTGATTATTAGCAGGTGAACTGTCTATCTGAAGAACCAATATCATAAAAAATACAGAAATAACATCGTTCAGTAAGATGGCTAGATATAACAATCTTCTACACTTATGATAGAAATGTATTTGAAAGAGTCCCAGGTATGGTGTTATCCAACTAGAAAATATCTAGGGTGCCCACTTCGGCAGGACATATACACTAAAGTTGAAACAACACAGAAAAGTTTAGCATGGCCCCTGTGCAAGGATGACATGCACACACACAAAACAAGAAAATATCTAGGAATAAATATAGCAAGAAAATGGCAAGATACATACAAAGAAAATTTTAAAGATTTACTGAAGTATATAAATGGAAGCCTGAATAAAAGGAGTTACATATATTGTTCCTAAATAGGATATTTCATTTTTTATAAATATTCCACTTTCTCTTCAAATGATGTTTAAATTAAAAGCAATTTAAATCCAAATGATTAAAAACATTTGGAAAAGGGAAATATGCCAAACTGGTAACCAGCTTTATCTAGAAACATAAATATATAAAAGTATCCACAATTATTTTTAAAAGAGAAATGAGGGTAGGAACACTGTGTGGACGTTAAAACACAAGATAGAGGCATAGCAATTAAAACACTGTGGTAAAATAACTAAATATCAGAACTGAAGAAATTTAGTGTAAAATAAAAATGCCTTAATAAACCAGTAAGAAAAGGCTGGCTTTTCCCATAAATGTCATGTAGCTTCATGTTATAGGGGAGACTCTGGCATCAGACAGACTAAATGAGGAGTCCTGGGCTGCCCCTGGCTCACTGAGTGATGTTGGACAGGAAAATTTCCTTTTTCAAGAACAGTTTCCCAGTGTGTAAAATGGGGATGCCAACTGGACTCCCAAAGAGATACTATAAGGATTACATAAGGCAATTCTTTTCAAGTAGGGCACTCCTCAATGTGAGAACTAAGGGCTCAAGAAACCTTAAGGATTATTATTAAATCATGTTGGGTAAACATTGTTAAGATCTGGAGGAAAATCTAGATCACTCTCAAATCAGCACAGATGGATACAAAATTTAATAGTAAGAAATAGAGTCATTAATGTTTTTGAAGAAAATATTGGATTTGTATTTCCTTAAAGAAATACCATCTTCTTTATTGGTGAGGCACACATCTCAAATTACTGGTCTGATTCTGCAATTAAAATATTCAATGTTAGCCCAGCCGGTGTGGCTCAATGATTGAGCATTGGCCTATGAACCAGGAGGTCACGGTTCGATTCCCAATCAGGGCACATGCCCAGGTTGCAGGCTCGATCTCCAGCAGGGGCATGCAGGAGGCAGCAGATCAATGATTCTCTCTCATCATTGATGTTTCTCTCTCTCTCTCTCTCTCTCTCTCTCTCTCTCTCTCTCTCTCTCTCTCTCTCTCTCTCCCTTTCTCTCTGAAATCAATAAAAATATATTTAAAAAATATCCAATGGTATTATTTAGCATTTTAGCCCTAACTGGTTTGGCTCAATAGATAGAGCATCGGCCTGCGGACTGAAGGGTCCCAGGTTCGATTCTGGTAAAGGGCATATACCTTGGTTGCGGGCACATCCCCAGTAGGGGGTGTGCAGGAGGCAGCTGATTGATGTTTCTCTCTCATCGATGTTTCTAACTCTCTATCCCTCTCCCTTCCTCTCTGTAAAAAAAACTTATGGAATATTGGAATCATAAAATGTTACAATAAAAATTTTTTAATATTCTTTTTATTTGATTTTGAGACAATTCTGTTTGGAAGATTTTTTTTAAAGAATATATATAAATATATATAGTTTTAATCCTCACTCAAGGAGTGAGGATCTTTTTTCCACTGATTTTTATTTTTATTATTTTTATATATTTTTATTGATTTCAGAGAGGAAGGGAGAGGGAGAGATAGAAACATCAGTGATGAGAGAGAATCATTGATCTGCTGCCTCCTGTCCACCCCTACTGGGGATCTAGTCCACAACCCAGGCATGTGTCTTGACCGGGAATCACACCATGACCTCCTGGTTCATAGGCTGATGCTCAACCACTGAATTACACCAGCCAGCTCCACTGATTTTTAGAGAGAGTGGAAGGGAGGGAGGAGGGGAAGAGAAAGGAGAGAGCGAAACATCGATGTGAGAGAGACCCATCAATTGGTTTCCTCCTGCACGTGCCCAAAATGGGGCTGGGGATTGAACCTGCAACCCAGGAACGTGTCCTTGACTGGGAATTGAACCCATGACCTCCCAGTGCACAGGCCAATGCACTAACCACTGAGCAACACCCGGCCAGGGCACAATAAAATTTTTTTAAGTGTGTCATGAGGAGCCTTCCTCCCCTGAGTGTGCAGAGGGCAGGGATGTGGAGAAGAATTAATGCTGTACTCTATATGAACTCTATGTTTTATCATCTGTTGACAGAAAAGGAATGCAGCAAATTGTCCTTCCTTCAAGCATATCACAGGTGACATAGTGACTAAAATGAGTCACACTGAAGTAATATCTAGATTCGAGAAGGGCAGGGAGTTATCTCTCATTGGTTGCTTTACCTCAGAGCTTAGCAATGCCCTCAGCTCTGAGCAAGCCTTCCAGCATTTGTGAAATAAATGAATTCTTCTCACTCTGTATCTGAGGAAACAGATTATCTTAGCTGTTCTGTAAGCCTCTGACTTATCCTATATAATAAAAGCTTAATAGGCTAAGTGTCTGACAGTTTGACCAGTTGCTATGACGCGCACTGACCACCAGCAGGCAAATGCTTCGACCACTAGGTTAGCTTGCTGCTGGGGTCTGGCCGATAGGGACTGGGCAAGATGGGCCAGACACATCCTGGAGCCCTCCCATGGTCCCTCCCTGGCCCCGATTATGCACCGGTGGGGTCTCTCGGCTTGGCCTGCACCCTCTTGCAATCTAGCACCTCTTGGGGGATGTTGAAGAGCTGGTTTTAGCCCATCCCCACTGGCCCGGCCAAGGGACCCCACCAGTACATGAATCCGTGCACCAGACCTCTAGTTTTAGTATAAAACCAGTGAGAGCTTCAAATGTAGCAACATCTATGACCAGGTCAAATAGTTAAGCCTAGAGATAAATGTCAACCTTATCATCATTTAAATCATAGCTCTGGGGAAATGGAACACCATGTATAGTCATCTTTTTCTCCCTAAGAAACAACAATGTTCCTAACTAACATTTTATCTAACGTTTGCCTTCTTTTTCTCTCCCAGTTGACTCTGGGAAAGCATGATGTACAAGGTCCCCCTGGGGCTGTGGTGCCAGAGTGGGGCTTGCTGACCAGCAGGGACACCTTCCTGAGTCACTGGGCTTCTAGGTTTTTTCATTTGTAAAATAGGCTACTACCTCCCCACTGTGCATCACGGTGAGTTGTCAATTAAATAATGAAACAGTGCAAGGAGCCCATAGGAGACGCTCATCCAAAATAGGATCTTTCCCTTCTTCCTCAGGCCTGACATTGCTTCTCCCTTTTCCTGCTCTCCCAGTCTCACAGCTCATTCAAAATGCCTTCTTTGCTCCTTTGCAGGTAAGACTTCTTCTTCTTCTTTTTTTTAACCACTTATCCATGACCTGTAAACATTTGCCACAGTTTATCAAAGTGCTGAATTTCCCCCTTAATGCAGTCTAACTGTGATGTGAACTCTTTTGATTTGTAAACTCAGGTATGAGGTTCAGCTCATGAAAGCATTCTTATATTATGTTTGACTGCTGCTTCCATTCCCATTGTTTTGACCTGTTCACCAAGAACACCTCTGATGTAGACTCTTCATTCAGTCCCCATATCTGTCATCTTCTCCCTTATCAACTGCATTCCTTCTGCAACATTCCTGTACATTTTGGGGGGACTCACTAGATTTGTCCTAGTTACCACCTAGATTTTCACACAATGACTTCACTTAAACATTACTCTGACTTCCTAGATGGCCCCAAGAAGCATAAGCCTAATTATTTCCATCCTAATAATTTCAATTTATTTTATACCCAAGTCCCTCAAGTCTTTGGATTCTATTTGATTAAAATATATATTAATGCCTGGCCAGTGTGGCTCATAGGGTGTCGATCTATCAACCAGGAGGTTGTAGTTCTATTCCCAGTCAGGGCACATGCCCAGGTTGTGGGCTCAATCCCCAATGGGGGGCATGCAGGAGGCAGCTGATCAATGATTCTCTCTCATCATTGATGTTTCTATCTCTCTTTCTCTCTGAAATCAATGAGAATATGTTTATATATATATATCTATATCTATCTACTAGAGGCCTGGTGCATGACATTCATACACTGGGGGTAGTGGGGTGTCCCTTAGCCCAGTCTGCACCCTCTTGCAGTATGGGACCCCCCCCAAGGGGTCCATAGTGCTGCCGCAGAGGCAGGAGAGGCTCCCACCACCACTGCTGTGCTCGCCAGCTGTGAGCCCGGCTTCTGGCTGAGTGGCACTCCCCCTGTGGGAGTGCACTGACCACCCAGGGGCAGCTCCTGCATTGAGCATCTGTCCCCTGATGGTCAGTGCACATCATAATGACCGGTCATTCCACTTTTAGGTCGATTTGCATATTAGCCTTTTATTATATAGGATATGTCTATATACCTATACATCTCTCTCTATATATGTATATATCCTATATAATAAAAGCCCAGTAACCGAACAGCAGAATGACCAGAAGACCGGGTGACCAATCGCTATGGTGTGTACTGACCACCAGGGGGCAGACGCTCAGTGCAAGAGCTGCCCCCTGGTGGTCAGTGCACCCCACAGTGGAAGCACTGCTTGGTTGAGTGGGATGAGCGGCTGCAGTGGGAGCAGCCGCTCAGAGGGTGGGTCCACAGCAGCTCAGCTGACCATGATGAGCAGCAGGCCTATCCCCGCGGGTCACGCACCCCCCACCAGTGCACCAATCCCATGCACCGGACCTCTAGTATATATATACTAGTAAAGTGGATGCTTGATATTCTCTTTCCATGAGTCCATTTTAATCCTGTATTCTGTGATTAGAGGTCTAATGTAGCAGAATGATCATTATTTTTTAATAGAAGAACAGTGCTATTATATGTCTGTGGCTTTGTTATAGGAGAGTGAAAAGCTAGGAAAATTTCAGAGCAAGTGGAATAGGGAAACTGAGACAAGGCCAAACAGTGTGGGCAATTTGCAGCCAGCTGGTAAACTGCAAGCCCTTTATCTTCCCCAACCAAGGACACTTGAGAGCAAATGGCTAATACCCCTCTCCTAACTAATGAAAAATATGCAGGAAGGAGGGGAAAGGAAAAG